TTGAATAATTTGATAACACTGAAAAGGTGTAACTGCTAGCAAGAACTGATATAATAAATTGCTGCAGAACTCCGGTTTTTTTTCGTATGCCTAGGCCACACATCGCTCTATATTATATGGCATCGAATAAATATTGTTAACTAGGTTTTTGGCAACAAGGACAGCCTTAGACGCTTGCACTATTTATTCAAAATATCTCATAAAATAATTCATATACTCATTACTTCAAAAAATTGTCACTGCGGGGAATACGTCGCACACCGCAATTTACTTTAACACATCCGCTACGCACAATGTCTGTGGGCAGGCTGAAGTGTAGGTGTGGGCACACAAGTGAAGTCCATCGCGATAGAACGCTTTGATGTGCAAGAGTTCACCGACAGCAAGGCAATTCGCACGAAGTAACGAAGTATTCGCGAATATGTGGCTACATACATACCCACACATAGCGATAACGCGAATATTCGCGTTATCGCTATGTGTGTGGGCCACGGAAGAAAGACCGTTGAGGGGGATATCCGTGTGGAATAGATTAAAAAAAAATTATTAAGGGGATAAGCGAACGCTGTAAATTTCAGAGCACGTCAGGGTTCGATCCCGCCGGCACCAATGAAATAGTTATGAGCCGGTTTACCATGTTCTCTGCGTTGGAAGAAAGCATCGTGAGAGATTTTTCCATAGTTTCCATGCTAGGCAGGCATGTTGGCAAACGCACCTTTTTATTGTTTTGAGTTGATATCATGAAGATGCTGCTACTCATCTCGTGTTTTAGTGACCAGTGATTGCAAAATAAAATTCATTTAATTATTCAATTTTTATTCGGATTGATTACTTTGGTAAACTTGTTTTGTTATAACACAATAATTTTACTTTTTATATTGTGAATGCAGTCCAAGAAAACATTTTTATTCATGCATTAAAATCACATCACATTTATAATATCGACATAAACTTATTCGAAGAAATATTCTGCAAAAAGCTGAACGCTGAATACGTGTTTATGTTCGCTCTTAAGTTCATTGTACTTGATTATTAATTACAAGCATATTAGTTTTACATTAAAAGCCCTAACTATAGCTATTTACATATTTAATAATACTAAAAAGTTATACAACACAATACGTTATTTATAAAATATGTTGATAAACATTATTGTTTTAAATTGTGTGAAGTAAGTCTGAAGTATGTACTTCTGTACTTCTGTACTTCTGATTATAACAATAATATAAGAAAATAAAGTGTTGACCCACGCTTAGCACATCTCTTTTGTATAATAGATTAAATAAATATAATATATGTCGCAGTCCAATGTTAGGATTGGTTCGATCGTAATCTGCCCGGACATTTTTCATATATTCCACATATTTCATGATTTAGGCAATAATAATCCGCCATATCACTTTTTACCTAATTAATAGTATTATAATAAAGGAACATCCCGGCTACATCTCAAACTATTATCGCTAATTTTTCTTGGTATGTGATTGCGTATTTTTAATGAAGTTACTGAAGTCGTATACTATAAATTATGGGCCAAATGACCAAAAGCCCAGGCTTATCGACGATCACGACGATCTGCTCAATTATAGAAGTTTTAGTAATACAACTTTGTTTTTTAATAATATAATATCATGGTGAATTTTATAGTAGAAAGCAGTTGGACGCAAAATGACAACTATTTAAAATTAGTATTCATACTTGACCTTAAACTGAGTCAAAATCCTTACGAATTAGAAGTAATTAATAATGACGTTTACGTATTAATATTTAAAAGCTTTAATTTTGTGTCACTAATTTTGAAATTGAATTGTAATTAAAAATTTGGTATAGACGTCAGCACTAGTTTTGACCGCTGGTTTAATATGGTGGAGGGGGTTAGATGGAGATTAGCACATATTCATTTTTTAAGCAATTACGCGACTTGGGGTTCATAAGGTGCTTACACCAATTACTGATTACTTAACAAATAACAAATTAATCGGGTACGGGAGGAGTAGTGTCGCGGGCCCCGTACTTTCACCTCATGCCCCGAGTACACCTAAAAACGCTTAATGCGCTAAATGCGTAGGTCAGGCTTGCTATACGTGATATTTTCTTAATTATTCATTCTTTTAATCTATTTTGTTTCCAATTTTGTTACTTACACAAATGTTGAGAAGTAATAATTTATATTTATAATCATATGTACAACAAATTATCACTTAAATCTATATGTACAAACAATATCACTAATTGTCTTTCATGGCTGCATCATTTAATTCTAGATAATATGGTTAAATGTTAAACTTTAATTCTACTGAAATGACTGACAGTAAATATTTATTTAAAGGTTCAATAATACTGACGTAATTACAAGACAAAATAACAATTGTAATATGTATTATAGATATAAGTAATCTTCAAAAGTAACATTTACATGATATTAAAATTTTATTTTCTTCCCGCTTTACATAATGTACACATAATTCGAGTTTATAGATTTTTCTTCACTCGCTTTTCCATAAATTTAACGATATATCTACAATGGCAAACGATTCCCGCTATCCAGTACCTCTCCAGAGGTGAGCCCACACTCTGCAGTCAACCTTAACTAAAAAGACTGCAGGTGTAACGGGACTTCTTAAAGATACAATACTTCATAGATTGTTACACACTGGTCTAGCACATAAATAAGCCCTCTTATATATCGGTTTAGAGGAAGCAAGAAGTTTACTTTTTAAATCTTATTCCAAAAGCTGTATTGCTTTCAAACATTTTAAGTAATTGCTAATAGTTGCTTAAAATACTTTTATATAACTGTTAACAGTTTAAAATCACATGATTAAACGCAATTCCTATTTACAACACACAACAAATACGATTTATTTATATACACATAGTTTGAAAGTAAAACATTTGATATGCATTTAATGACAAAAAGTTATTTACTAGATTCTCTTATCCAACTAATAATCACAGAAAAGACTAGCATTTAGATTAATGATTTTATAAAGAACACATTACCCTAAAATAATGTTACCTTACTTTTACAATAATATGAAAATGTACGCTGATGCTTTTTTCAGGTGCTTCATCACAATTAAAAACTAAGATGGAATGTTTCGTAACAAAATGGCCCTTCATACGTGCACGACATAGTACATCTTTCAAAACAAAAAAAGGGAGGATGTACTTTTTTTAGAATAAACGTGATAAGCGAGATCACAGTCCACCTGATGGTAAGTGACTAATGCAGTCAATCACAATTCCAACAAACTTCATCAAAGAAGGCCACAGATGCGTTATCACCTTCGAGGATTAAGATGGTCTGCTCACAACATTTGATTATAATGACTCTCTTGACCTCTCAGACCGGAACACATTAGTCGAGGCTCTGCTTTAGTGGCAGAACCTTTCCTACCCAGAAGAACCTCCAGCCAGAAACAGAGTTCTACCACATTGTACATGCATTCTCAGAACTGTATTCCAAAAATAATTTAATTTTGCTTATTATTCTTCCCAAAAAAGTAAACCGAGTAGTTAATATGTTTATGCCATCAAAACAAGATATAATCTTATTGGATTTATTTTGTGATAAAAAAATACGCGTGGCACTCGGTGACTGCCGCGGTAAAGCTATTGCATAGCATTTTTTATCAACTTAAGCAATTATAATTATTTATTTATTTTATTTATGCAGTTAAGTCTTTGATATTAAATCAAGTTACACTTTTTGAGCGTGGTGACAGATAAGAAAACAATTTTTTTCTCTTATTGAATAAATGAGACGTTAATATTGTTTAAAATGTTTTTAATATCTTACAATACATGTAGGTTATTCAGGAATTTTTATCATTGAGTTAGCAGCTAGTGTACACGCACACAAACACCGTGCCGAAGTCTGCCGAACTAAAACGACGTTAGACGATGCACGGCTTTCCACGCCACAACTCCGTGCCCGTCGGAGTGGGGAGCGTGAGCTTTTTTTTCGTTACGGAATTTCTGGATTCGGTCCCCGCGCTCAAGGCCCGCGATAGAAGCTATGCAATAGCTTAAAAGATATGAGCTATTGTAGATTAGGAATAATAGAGCTTAATAAAATAACAGCGCGTACGTGACTAACTGATTGCGCACTTAGATTATTTTTTGTATGAATGAGGATGGCAATTGAGTACACAATCCACTTGATGGTAAGTGGATATTGCTGCCCGTAAATACCTAGGACATCCGTGATAAATAATCGAAATTTTTCCTATATTCTTTAGACAATAATTAATAAAATATTTAATCAAGAATAAAAAAAAACATTTTTATACAGCCTGTTTTTTAATTATTTGTTACGCGCTTACTAGTATTCATCCCTTACCAAGTATAGCTTTCTTTTTCGGACTCATGCGCTATATCGCGTCCAGAATAATTATTTTTCATTTATCTTTAAAACTATTAATTTTAATAACAAAATTAAATAAAGCAATCTTATTAACAATAAAATTACCTACAAATTGCTTTCTTATTTTTTTTTTCCTGAAATCAATATTATAAAATTTATTAATATTTTGTTATAAAGCCCAACATGTAATTAAAATTAATTTTTTCTCGCTTTAAATTAATTTTATTGTAATTATTGTAAGAAAAAGTATTTAAATCTCGTTGAATAACTTTTATAAATTTTATCGCATAAAAATTGAGGAGGAATAGTTTTCGATACATCGGTGTTTCGGTTTCGATGCGCTGTTGCGTTTGACAATTTCTTAGTTGTATTAATCCAATACGTTTGTGCAAGAGAAAAAAGAATAAGAGTGAATCTGTACGTGTCGGTCAATTTAACTAATTAAGAAAAAAAATTACATTATATTGAAATACGAAATACGAAGTTGTCCGTAACCAGCTTCAATTAAATAAAATTCATAATCGAATTTTTACTTTGAAAATTAATGATACCAAAATGTTGAGTAAGAGGCATAATTTAGTGAAGACATAAGGTCAAAATAAGTACATTCATGGTTGTTTTTAAAAGGTTTTTACACGGTCACTTCTTCAGTGAAACGACTTTTGTCGTCCAAATTAATAACTATCGCATGAGTCCTCGCGTGACCTGATCTTACCCCGCCCTTGACAGTTTCTGAACTACTGGGACTAGACCTTGCTTCACTTCTGTCACTAGTACTTGGCACGTTCCTATTTGTAACCTCTGGAGGACGTACATCACTGCAGTTGGCTTCACCGGATATTTTGAAAACACCATTTTGTTTTTCGTCTTTAGTTTCCTGAGTTTCTTTTCTTTTCGGGGAATCAGTCGTGACGTCTGTTTGACTTTGTTCAGCATTGCTAGTTTCGCCACTCTTTATAGGTGTAAATGGTTTGTGTCTATATGCTGGTGGAGCTTCAAATGGTACATCTCTACCACTGCTGGTAGACTCTTCTCCCGGTGTAACAGAGCACATAAGTCGACCCGCGACAGCATTAAAAACTGTGTTCAATCTAAGTGGTGCTGAATGTTCTGACACGTTTGTCTTATGTTCGTGCATTAGTGCAGCTTCTTGCATCTCATTGATACATCTCGCTATATTGGAGGTGGACCCGCAACGTTCCCGTAACTTGTCCAGTTGATTGCGTAACTTCTTGAATTCCTCCTGTCAATTCGAAAATTGTTGTTATTCAAATAATAATTAATTTGTTACTGTATGAAAAAAAATTAGTTACGGATTTATAAATGTTTAAGTCTCAAATTATATAAATAAAAGTATTTAATATTATTATCATTCAGTAATACGTTAATTATTATTGAAAATAGGATAATATGTGCCAAATGAAAATATTTAGTCTCTTCCTTTCCCTCTGGATAACAGGCATGAGAGTTTATAACTATGATTTTGATTATGCAATTTAAGGTAAGCAATTTTATCTAAAACTACTACGACCAAATATAAAAGATTAATCCAACCAATGCGTATTGCCTGTGATGACCTATGGATCTGAGATATGGTCCTTCACTGCTGGTTGTAAGAGAAAATTCAAGGTCACTCAGTGAGCTATGGAGAAGGCTATGTTTAAAGTGTCTCTGAGTGATAGACTTAAAAATGAGGATATGCGCAGTATAACCAGAGTAACTGCCATGGACCAACGAATTAGCAAGCTGAAATGGCAATAGGCTGACCATATAGCTAAAAGAACCGACAACCGATAGGGAAGAAAGGTTCTCGAATGGCAGTCTCATACCGGTAGGCGAAGTGTATGTTGGCCCCTACTAGATGGAGTTACGACCTGATAAGGCATGCAGGAAGTCGATGGATGCAGGTGACTCAGGAACGTGCTTTGTGGCATTCCTTGGGGGTGGCCTATGTTGATCAGTGTACTTGTGACGGGTTGGAATGAATGAACGAATCAATAATTTTTGTAGAGAAACACTATCTTATTACCTCCAATTCTCTTTCGGACATATTATCACAAAAGTGGGTGTTGTTTGTTGTCATCGTGTATGTGGAGTCAGCAGGCCTCGATCGGAATTTGCCCGCCTTCTCCTTTTCATCTTTTCCATGTCCCCTAAAAACCATATATGCCTGCAATAAAATAAACAGATTGATTTTATACGACACCCTTCAAGAAAATTTAAATATTAAAAAATAATTAGGAACATGTTAAGAACTCTACGCATTCATAATAACACCCGTCATGTGAAACTATACGCGTTTCCATATCTACTATGTACCACAATAATTCAAATAGTTTGCAACCGAATCAATGAGATCTTTGATAAATTGGTTGTAGGTAAATTCAGGTAGTTGATATAAAATTAGAGATGAATTAATTTCAATTTTCAATAGATTTTTTTGAAATTATATTTCAAACTAGAAATTTCATTTCTCGAACTCCGCATGGAACAAGTGATAACAGTTCCATGTCGGGATATTTTTCCATGTGTAAGTTATCTATAATTCATGGTTAAAAGTCGAAGTGCAGTTAAACCTCAGAGTACTTTTTACAATATGTAACAAACAACTCGGTTATTATTTTAGGGATACTTACGCATACAATTATGTGAGTGAAAGTCTTTGCTCGTAATTAAGGAATCTTATTGTTTATATTAGGTTACTTACTAAAATCAATCTTGTAAAAATTGTTACTTTTATCTAACTGACACGCACATTAAAATAAAGCATAGTCCTTGCAAATGCATTGATTTTGATAACGCACTTAAAGGGACACAGGATTTTTGTTACATGTGGTATACTAGTTTGTTGCACGGAAAAACGAGTACCCTCACATTTTGTTTAGTTGGTTGGTAGCTGGCCTGTGCTTTCCTCCATTTCATCCGCATTCCTTCCGCACGCACTGAAAGGAAGCTAGAATATGTGGCGTCATTTTTGCGACAAGTAAGAAACGTGCCCGCCTAGATGGAAGTGGAGACGGCCGAAAAGGTTAAAAGGACGTCCGCTGCCGCCGCTCGCTCTCTTGCGTTGCAATTGAAGATAGACGCTAGATGTGATTACACCTGTGGCCATAGAAAAATCTAACAGTAACCACTTCGCATAGTGCAATTTGTCGTCGCGCACCTCTCTTGCAACACAGTCGCAACACAAGGGTCATCTTCTTCGAGGCCACAGACCAAGAAGCAGGAAGAAACATTTTTTTGGGTTTTCTCTTTACTGTGTCCTTTTTCCTAACAAGTCATATTTAGTTCCCGTGTGCACCGGCTCGATATAACAGAATAAGTAATAGCAAGTGCATTTCCCAAAGCCGGCTACGTGCCACGTCAGCGATCTTGTTTTGGTTTTAGGAACCCACGCATATACAGTCCACATATACTTAATTTCCCATACAAAATGTTGGGATCGATATTCCTGGAATCGAACCCGTGACCTTACAGCTCCACCATTTTCTGGTTCCTGCTCTCCAGATACGAAGGGCAACATAGTCACCCCAACCATTTAGTGACCATCCGTTTTCGGATTCGCACCGAACGGCCGAGGTTAAACTTTTTATTTATTCATGACTAAAGCTATGTATTTCCGAATGCTTTCAAGTAAAATTGTATACAGTAGTCAAGTCCCAGTAATTATTAAAGTAGCTGTAACTTCTACCAGCTTTGTCAAAAAATATGAATGCATCTATTATATAGTACCAGTGACAGTAGGTTTATAGCTACTACTTCCATTGATTTGTTATATTAGCGATAGTAGGACGTTAACTACGACTTCTGTTAAATTTGTGGGTTATTGTTTCTAGGTATTAGTAGTTTAAATTACGAGCATCGATATTACTTAAAAACTATTCGTACTAATCGATATATCTAAGTAAGTTGTAGCCGGTGAACACTACGGGACGTAACATATAAAATGTGATATTTATTAGTATTAGAAAAAATAGTGTGAAAAAGGTAAACGAAGTGGAAGTATGTGGATATTTTTAAAATTTTTAAAAGGAAATATTTTAAATAAAAAAACAAAAAAAAAACAATGTGTTTTACATTTTAAAATTGTGGTTCAAGGCCGTGTTTTGAGGCATTCTTCGGGGGAGGACTATGTTCAACATTGGACTTGTTGCCTGTAGTAATGATAATGATGATCATAATGATTATGATGATAATCGTGATACTATTGAAAACTTTAAAGTTGTGTATGTACCTTACTCCCGAAGATGAAGCACAAAAGCAAAGTTACGGTAAGCTGTGTGTGACAGAAAAATATTATATAGAGGAGGTCCGGATTCGCTGGCGACTGCAAAAATAACCTGAAAAGCAAATATCATTTTAATAAATGTTGTAATATAAATATTATATATGATTTTGGAACAAATCTACCGAACCATTACTATCTACTACTACATGAAAGGATCGAATAAAATAGAATAAAAAATATTTTTTATAATAAGAAAGTAATTTATGCTTTTATTTTATTTTTATTTGTTAGCTCAAATTAAATGCAATACCATCGTTATCCAAGGCTTCTTGTTTTATACATGTACACGAATGCTGCTGATTTGCTTGCGTTTTATGTGAATGGAAAGCTTTGACTTCCTAGTATATTGGTACCGCTCCGCGTTTGAGCTCTTACTAGATAATATTGACTTAATCCAGACAAAGTCTGAATCAAAAATTATGACACTCAGTATTATTAAAAGGTTATAAAGTAGGTAATTACTTATCGTTACTCCATTACAACCTATACAACATGTATAACCCATTGAGTGCGTTATCAGAATCAGATTGTCAAAGATCCCGCATTATCGATACTCGTGTTAGTTAGAGGAAATAAAATCACATATAATGTGTGAATATTTTCTTTTATTAAATGAAAAACATATGGTCGAGTTTTCTTAAAAAAATTCTATACGCTTGAATACTGATTCTGAGAACGCAGTTAACGGGAACCACAGGGTTTTCGTTACATTTTGTATAAGATAACAGCTGAACTTAGAACTCTCCCATTGATTACCTCATAGGATTTTGTCATAGTTGCCATGCTTTGCAGGTGGGATTGCAGCCGCAGTTTTTTTTTGAGTTATTATCAGGAAGATGCCGCTGCACATCCTCTGTTTTAGATTCCCTCTGTCACCTCTTATAACATCTACGGAACGATGTGGAATGGTGAATACTCTTACAGCAACACATCACGGTTTATCCTAACACAATAGCTTAATACTCTAAAAAGATATTTCCAAGCGAAATCACTTAACGAAACACTCCATTCGACGTTAAACATAATCATTACAATTCCAATCTGAAGTTTTCCTTTTTGTCTGATTGAAATTGGTTCCATGAGTTGAATACTTAATTAAGATTTTACTTAAGTTAATCGATTTGAACACGTTTTATTTATATAAGATCAACCTCTTTAGAATTAAGTAATCATGACTCAAGAATTTCAAGGATTTTATTGAATGGGATAAAACAAGTGTGGTTATGTTTTTTTTTAAAATCTTAAACATTTTTATCCTATGTTGTTAAATGTTATTGAATATAAAATTAATAAAAAAGTAAAAGAAATTCCTCACCTACACGCAACATATATTTTATATTTCATTATGATTTTATAAATTAGTTTTACGACAAACACTCTAAAAGCGGTGTTAGCTCAGGGGAATTTCAGGCAATAGGGACTCGATTCCCGCAAGCATTAATGAAATAATTAATTGCAATTTTAAGTGCTGAGTTTCTATGTGCTGTGCGGTGATGGAAAACATAGTGAGGAAACTTGCATATTTGAGAAGTAAAAAAATGTTTCAAAGACCTTTGGACTCCGGTAACGCGCATTGGGGGCAGTGCGGCGGACACTTTCTTGCTCTGAAATCCTTTCAGAAGTGAGAGGGTTTTAGGGCAAGTAAGATTATGCCCAGTCTTAGGACGTATATAGGCTGTAACTTCTAAACATTTCATGCTACATGAAACATTTTTAAAGAACCTTTTTTATAGAAGATGGGGCTAACGAGTATGCTGTTTACCTGACGGAATGTCTACCACCGCCCACGACCAACCGCAATATCAGGGAAATTGCGGGTGCATTGCTAAACTTTAAAAAGGGGTAAGGTCGTTTTTAGAACGTCTCTGTGTAAGTATCGGTTAGGAAAAATTTCCGGTGGTAAACGAATCCACAAACAAGTCGTGTGACAAAAACACTCGTAGTAAATCGTACAGTGGTGGACCGCCGATCATCCATATGGTATGGAAAGTTTCGAATTTTTTTTTTGCAACGTGCGATAGTAAAATTAAGTGACTGGAATTAATCTGAACAATTGCTCAGAGCACTACTAGTAGTATACGTGATAGCAAATGCAAATGTAGATGCAACATCACTTCACAGCGCCAGTGAATTGTGTCGATCAGACAGAACTCGGTCGTTTATGAATCTAATCGCTTTTCCCTGGATTCTATTGAGTAAAAAAAAGCTGCCATGCTACCCCAGTCTAGAGATAAGAACAGTATTCCGTGTGAATTTGAACTTTCATGTAGAGTTGCAAGCGGTGTAATGGCATGAAATACAATCCCGCTTTTCTGAGCACGCCATTTTTTGAGACCAATTTAACTTTCATTTCCGAGTGACAGCGGAACGTCATTCGATATGTCGACGTCGAGGATTCCGATGCCGACTGAGGCAGTTAGTAGGAAATTGAAGAGATACGACAAAGATGTTCTTTTTAGCTGTTTCTTTATGTCCAGCTGTTAGCTTAAAAATATTGATAAACGTGGTAAAGCACAGCTATGTTATGGTTGTAGCATGAATGGGTCGGCACGATTGGGGAAGGAACACGCTCTCACAGAATACCAGGGAAAAATAGCAGCTCAGCAGCATTGAGTGAGAGTTGAGCGTATCGTATGGTAAGTGTGGAAAACCTAAGACCCTTTTTGTTGGAAGCGAAACATTCCATCTTAGTCCTCAGGGATGGTAACACATCTTGTTCCTAGTTTCTCCTCAGTCTGTCCTCAGTTTGGTTCCTAAACGAGGATAGATGTAGATGTCTATGAGCTACAGCATCCACTTAACATCATATGGACTTTGTGCTCATTAGTCACCCTTTATTCTATAAAAAAGACTATAAATTTAATACTAAAGCTTAAATAATTGAAAAGAAAGTCATACTCACATTGATATATTTAGAAAACCCGATAACAAAAACTCGTTATAAATGGCCATGGATATGAAACGGCTCTCATTGAACTCCGAAGGCGCCTTTCGAACCATAATGCATAGCCGGATACCCCACATTAAGAAAATGACTTCAACTGTGAGAAATATAAATCAATGGATAATATATTTTATACTAGCATCCGACCGGTCCCTGCTTCGCTTGGGTCGAACGTGTTAATGTGGCGTCAATAATCATCAATTTTACCAATAACCAAAAAATCTTTCCTAAAATAAATTAAAATTTCTTTTAAAATGTGTAACTAATATCACTCTTGGTAATTACTCTCTTTGTGTAAAGTTTCATTACAAATGCCATGTCATCCAGAACCCCATAAGGTCGATAAAAGGCAGTTCTTTTGATTTTAAAAACAGACACTTCTTTTTGTAATATCGATATTATTTATACCGAAGCACGAATTGTAATACCGCCAACTTCCTTTTACCGGACTGCTCCTGAGAATTTCTTGTCAGAAAAACCCAATAGCTGATTATAACCCGACGTGGGATTCGAACCCAGGACGTATATATGTTCAGTCGCGTTTATGACCACTAACTGAAAGATGCACTCGGACAGAATGACTTATTATAATATGCACAATGCACGTGGTAGAACCGCGCTGTAGCTATATTACGGTTGTAGCACGAATGGGTCGGCTCGACCGGGGAAGGACCATACTCTCACGGAATACCAGCGTAAAATAGCAGCATAATACTGACGTGTTCCGTATGGTGAGTGTAGTGATCCGGATACCCTTTTTACAGGAAACGAGGCATACCATCTTAGTCCTCAGGGGCACAGTGGTGACACTCCCTGTACGTGAGAGCTTAAACGCCGGTGACCTTGAGTCGAAGCGTGTAACGTTAGGGTTGATATCGAACCGAAATGGAATATTATAGACTTTTACTAAAGAAGATACATAGTAGGTATATGTTATATATTATGTAAACTTATGCATTTGGGTAGTGAAAGATACGTTCAATTTTAAATCAACTTTTATAAAATATCTTTACAAATGAGGAATATTAAAACTTCCGACAAAACCAAATATGCACAACAGTTAATGGTAATCATAAATAATTAACCAACACTTAGTAATTCAGTACGCAATAACCAGTATTATCTACTATCCTTTAAAAATTAATTTACTCTTATATATTTTTGAAGTTTTCGATTACTTTTATAATTTTCATTATTATTTCTAACAATTGCAAAAATTCGTAGCATTTATAATTTTATATATATATATATATATATATATATATATATATATATATATATATATATATATATATATATAATAGTAATATGTATGACCGTCGTATTAAGATATCGGTAATATTCATATATTAATTGAAATATAATATCACTTGACGAATATATTCATATTTTACTGACAAATATCGGTATTAACCCATCTTTACTACTAGCCCTCGGCCAGGGCAGTCGGCGACTGCCCGTTCCACGCCCCGCGCACCTCTCAAAGCCCCCGCGCACATCCAGATACCCCCACATAGCCGCAAGCGATTATACGTACACACATGCTTAAGTGTCGTTTCTTTTTGCGTAGTGTATATATTCTTTGTCAGGGGTGACAACGCATTTGCGTTTTGATTCTTAATCGAGGATAAATGTAGGTGTCTATGAGCCATATCATCCACTTACCATCTGGTAGATTGTATGCTCGTTTTTCGTATCACCCTTATTCTATAAAAAAATGTAATACGTAAGCTATAATATTGAAAAACTAATTACAAAATATGTAACAATTGTGAATCTGCAGTCGATTTATTAATAATTCATATATTTATATATCAAAGGAGTAAAAATAATTGCGCCATTTGCCTAAACGGTCAAAAAATGTCTTATGCGTCAGCTAGTTTTATCATAAAATTTGAAGTCTGTCTCAGCGTCGATCACTCCTTGGAAAAAATATTTTGACTTCACTTGATCGTTAGCCTGCAAAAGCTGATAGACTTGACTGTATTTGAATAGATATGCACTTACGCGTTGTGAATGAGTGGTCCCACCAATCTGTGTTGCATAAGTATGCTTTGAGGTCTTCTTTAGTGCGGCCGACGATGACGGCTGGTGGTGCGACTAACGTCCGAATAGAAAGTAATACGCAGGCGACCCCAACGATGATTCCAATGCGCCGTAGGAGATACATATCTGATATTTTTACTGCTTTAGCTGATCTTACTTGAAAGATCACTGATATTCTGTTATCAGAAAGAAAAATATACATAAACTTTTATGGTAAACAAAATAAAGATAGTACAAGACTTATATCTTAATTCTTATCTTATTTAATCCATTACGTAAAATATTTTTAGAAAAGTAAGTTTGAATTTTATAAAAATTCATACAAATAACGAATGTCTCCGATCCACCTCTGACAGCGGTGTTATCGTCTACTTTACGTCTAAGAACACATTTTAAGAAATGAGAAAAATTATTTCCTAGAAATTCCTTTTATAGCTCTACTCGTTAGATCTTATGCTGTAATGATCTGAGGAAAATGTTGTCAGTCCTATAGAAATTATATTTCACTTATTTTGCAATGTTTGAAATTAAATTAATTTTTCAAATGACATCTCATGTTTTTGTAAATCTATTGCCGTTTTAGTAACTGTAGTTTTAGTCTAACTTATGGTAAATAGATGCTATTGCCCATAGATATCTGCATTTATCCTGAATTAGAATCGAAATGCAGACACATGGTTACCCCCGAGGATTAAGGTGGTATGCCTCGTTTAATGTAAAAAGAGTTACAGTTTCTCTACACTCACCATATGAGGCACAGCAGCATTAAGCTGCTATATTGCGCTGGTTTTCTGTGAGAGCGTAATCCTATCCAGGTCAAGCTAACCCATTCGTGCTACAACCATAATATAGCTGCAGCATGGCTCTACCACGTCATTTACTCCCTCACTCTCCTAGTCTGATGAAATGGCAAACGTACACGACCGGAGGGAGATCAGGCGCGGGACCAACGGCCAACTTCCCGACTCTAGGCTGCTATTGAGAATTTCTTGACAGAAAACCCAATAACTGATTTTGGCAGGATTCAGGATTCGAAACCGAAACTCCATGATCAGGAATCGCGTTTACGAACACTCAATCACCGAGGCAGTCAGCTTAAAAATAACAGACTCGTCAATATTCATCATCGTCAATATGCTGCAGTTATATTAGTAGTATAGTTGTAGCACGAATGTCTGGCTCAACCGGGGGAGGACCACGCTCTCACAGAATAGCAGCGTAAAATAGTAGCTTGATGGTGCTGTGTTTCGTTTGGTGAGTGTAGAGAACCGGAGACCCTTTTTTAATGGAAACGAGGCATTCCAACTTAGTCCTCACGGGTGACAACGCATCTGCATTTTGATTCGTAATCGAGAATAGATGTAGATGTCTATGGGTCACAGCAACCACTTACCATCAGGTGGGCTGAGTGCTCATTTGTCACCCTATCCTTTAAAAAAATACACAAAGCACGTTCTATGATAAGTAGTAAAACAAAAAACTTTGTACAACCGACATAAATATAAATAAAATAAGAATGTCATCAATTATTCCGAAGTTATTAAATACGCATTATTAAGGATAACTCAAAAATAAGATCTTGATCACATTTATATGGGAACACATGATATGCAACAGCTTACAAATAAAAAATGAATTCATCTGTGCGTAAAAACCGGAGCAGACCAGCAGCAATAAGCTATTGACGAGTATGTGATGTGGCAGTCACACAAGCAATCCACAGCTTCTTTCAAGTAACATTACCAGTTGGCACATTATTTTAATAGTTCATTTCCAGCACTGGAACTAATAAGTCTGTTGTGTGTTTTTAAAATTCGCAGTAGACTTTTTTAAAAATTACTAACGACTTCATTTAAAAAATGACATGTGTGCAGGTCACACGGAATACAAGTGAAACATTTAGAAAAACACTGTTTACTGTATTCTATCTCATTCTCTCGCAAGCTAAATCCTGTAAATATGTATGCCATCAAAAACGTAACTTGTACATAAAACCAAGTCTCACAACTCAGTTCTTCTACCGTAAAAAGTTGTGAGATTCATGTAATACCAAGTCGGTTAATTTATTCAGACCCTACTTAAGGGTCCTTCTGTTTTAAGTTATTACGAAATTAGCTAACCTAACAACATTTTATAGTGACCACATCAATGTTAAAAATCTTATGTTTCAAATAATAGATTGACTTGGCCATCGCAATAAAACACAATGTATCTCACAAGTAATACATATTATATTAAATTAGATTGCTTAGTGCGATTGCCAAGTCAATCTATATATTTAAAACACATAACTTCTACTTCCTGAATACCAACAACGTACCTACCTACACCTATTATACATATTATAAAAGTACACTGAATCACTCACTGCAAATGTTACTTTGTATTTCTATATCTATATAAGATTACAAAGTTATTTATGCAGTTGGTGTATCTAGAAAACTGGACCGAAATTAAAAAATATTTTAGTTTTTCCTTAATTTCTACACTAAGCACTATGTAATTGTATTCTAAATTTGAATATTTGTCTGCTGAAAGTGCCTTAGAGTTTTGATGATCGGTCAGTCAGTGAGTGACAAAATTAAGAAACTTTGACTAGTTATACTCCTTAAACTACTGGTTTAAATTGAATGAAATTTGAAATATACCATGTTTATACAATGTTTACTCGGTTACTGAAAATTCAGGCTTTTAGTTTTATCCAGTACGAAGTTATAGGGGGTCAATAAAAATAAGTCCAATGTGATATAAAGTGAACTTTACAGACTTTTAAATAACCAGATGTCGTGTGATAAGTTCATAATGTCTTGAAAATTGAGTCACTTCTTGACTAAGGGTAAAGAGTTTATTAAAGGATTAAGCGAGGCATAACGTTATTAGTCCCGCGGAAGGAAAACCAGTAACTCATATCTGATTCAGCACAATGTTACACCCAGTATATTGAATTTATACAGTTTTAATAATTTTACAAACTGATGACGAATATGTCAGTATCACTAAAGCCAGTACAATACCACTATTAAACACAGGGCTCACCCAAGGATTGGCACAAATCACAGTCCTAAGGCACTTTTATCCATCGGCATTACTTACAGATCGCCATTCTATCTAGTGCGGTCGCCCAGCACTTACCGGTTAATTTACCGGAACAAGGCTGTCACTTGAGAACCTTTATAACCAGTGGATTAACGGTTCTTCGAGCTATATTATAGCCGGAATATTGACGCTTCAGATTACAGATCCATTGGGCTGTGTCGGTTACACCGGTGTTTTGCAGATATCCTCATTTCTAAATCAAATCGCAAAAAATCTGGACATAACCCTATTCATAGGTCACTGCTCACCAAATACGAACAAAATTCCAAAAATATAAAGAATATTTTACTATTTTATTCAGTGGCATATGATTAAAAATCGGTATGTAAATCGATTTTTGAATTCGCTTTTTAAACGTTTGTGTTCAACTTATTAATACATCTTCCAAAGAGTTTATAATCCCTCTTTATAAAATAATCCAAAGAATAAACTACACTTAAAGCTTTTAAGAACTCAATTTAAATGTAATCACTGCTTTTATCATCCAATATAAGGAATAAATATATCGTTTTTACCACCCAATTAAGCTTTGAAAACAAATTTCCTCTTGTCTTAAACTAATATAGGTTGGAGTAAATGTAAATATATTTTTGTGTTACATAGTATATTAGTAAAAACGTAATTATTTTGAGCGTGTAAAAGTAATTCCTTTTTATTTAATTTTAATTTTTGATATGATAGATCTACGCTGCAGCTATATAATACGGTTGAAGCGTTTTCACATAATACCAGCGTAAAATAGCACCATTAATGTGTACTCGTATGGTGAGTGTAGAAAACCGGAGACGCTTTTACTGGGAACGAAGCATTCCATCTTAGTCCTGAGGAGTGACAAAGTATCTGCATTTTGATTCTCGAAGATAGATGTAGATTTCTATGGGTCACAGCATCCGCTTACCATCAGGTGAACTGTGTGCTCGTAAGTCACTCTTATTTTACAAAAAGAAAAAAAAACCTTCTTAAAATCTAACTAAGCAAACCTCCAAGTCTTCAACATCAAAGCTCCGTAAGTGAGACAAAAGCCGACTTCTCGCAACCAAACCCTCGCTGTGCAGGTAAAAACCGTTGGTCTTCCATACATTACTAGTGTAGTACAGTAGATAAGGAGGGCCCCAAGCACAATTACTCTGAGTAGAGCGGGACTGGCGGCACGAACGACCTAGAACATGCCCGTAATTTTGACACAAGGATGCTACTAGAAAAATGTGTAACTTCAATTAAAACAGTCTAAAAAATGTATCAATTTCACTTGTCATTAATTACAGCCTATCAGAAGACAAACACAGGACTGTGCTCTAAATTATTTATTATTTTATTCCTTTGCGCTCTCAGAGACGTTGCTGCACATGTGTTTCAATTTACCTCCATCGCATCTTGCGATTACCGACGGGTTTATAATTGGGTAGTAGAATTCTGTCGCCGCAACCACGCAATTAATATTATTAGATTTTATTTATTTTCTGTTGGAATTTTTTTTGCTTATTATATGGCAGTTTTTGACCACAATCCTACCTGGTGGTGATTCGTGATGACGCCCTAGGTCCTTAGGTGGTAATCGCACTGTTTTAGCATAACAAAAGCCTATTCACTCTTGCCTTGTAGACGCCCAGATTTTACTCGGACGGAAACACAGACAAATGTAACTTAGTAACTGGACGTAAAACGTCTCATATTCTAAGAGTGTTTCTGTAAGGAGTCTGTCGCGTTGCAACAATGCGTGACGAAAACTTCAAAATAATTACTTTTATTTTTTTATTCTCTTTATTTTGTTGTCTCACAACATTTTCCTTTACCTCTGAGCCCATATTAGAACTTAATTTGTGATTAACTGTTTCTTACTTACTTATTATCGGTTTTTCTGTAGTTTTAACCATTACAAGCCAGTGTTTATTCACTAATATGAGTATTACAACTGATAGTACTTGATAATGCCGCTGAAGATGACTAACTAAAAAAGATGTGGTTGAACTCGGGTTGCTTGTACAACGTGAAATTTTAAGCTAGGGTCAATCCCCTTAGCTATTACGACTTTTAGTACATTTATTCTATATAAAAAAGTTGTATGATGTAAACACAATCAACGAAAATATCTATAAATACTAGAAAGCGTTGTTAATGTGAAATTAGCCGAAGAAGTACAAGGGCATTATTTATTACATACAATATTTAGTGCATAGTTGTGGCAATCCAAGTAAGGTGTTCTTTTACCTGTCTGCCGCTGTATGTGAACCCGGCACTTGTGTGCTAGCTCTGCGATACGCTTGTATAAAGCTTTCATACGCAGCGCAGGTACGCTCTTTCATTCTGTTAGTTACTTGAGAAATGTTTGCTTGAATTGGAGAGGTGATTTTTGGTTTACGTTATTTGTACTTCATCAGATAATTTTACATTTTAGAAAGCTGCTTAGACTTCATACTTTATGTCTCTAATTCATGTATAAAAAGTGTATATAGATTCCCTTTACTGATTTAGATTTTTAAACAAAGTTAAAACATAGGGGTTATTTATTATATTACTCTATGTTCTATGAACCATAGATAGCATATTATAACCATTCTCTTTAACCATTCTCTTACCATCAAGTGGATTGTGTATTAATTTGTCACCATTAGATACTTATTATTATTTATTATTTTTATTTTAAATAACCATATAATGAAATAGATCTATTAATAAATATAACAATAATCAATTTTTGAAGTAAATAAATCAATCAATTAAAAACTATCGAAATTAAAATAATACGTATCTAATTAGTAGTATTTATTGATAAATCAATCTCTAAATATGTTAATGCAAAATAAAAAAAATTGTAAAATATCATTGCCATAGGCTTCTATTCCGTACACCTGTTACACCCTATTTTTTCCAGACGGTAAAAAAATATCCAGTATAGTGACCCATAGTCTCTTTATACGACACCCTCGGGACAAAGTAGGCGCTGCTATGAGATGGAAAGTCAAAAATCTAAGTACGTAGAATCATATGTGATTAGTACTTGTGCATTCCTTGGAGCTATAATGACTGTAATCATAATGATCATTTGTGTTTCTGTTAGTTATCGTATAACTTTTGAACGTATAGACCAACTGAGATCATATTCACACAATATATTTGCTTGAGTGAGGATTATAACTATGCTATAACCCGATAGGTGGCGTTGTGAACGACTTATTAATAAATTATATATTTACACAAAAATCCAGATTGAATACGGAGATTTAGAATTGAAAATCATGGCGCACTTTTAGGAAATAGCTAAACAACGTCTACCGAGCCAGCTAGTAAACATATAACTTACTCTAACATGTCCGTACTTGATTGTGAAATATACGATAAAGGGCAGACATGATATAACAAAACACGCCAACGCAAATATGGAGCTTCTGACAACCCAGTTTAATGCGGCGACGCAAGGTGAACCATCCATACATGCCTCACAGCCCTCAGCACAAGGGAGGCACTCGAATTCCGTTGATAAAGAATACAGAGTCGGCTGGTGCTGTAAAAAAAATTAATATTATTATTTAAATGCTTACATCTATAACCTACTCGATGTAGATTGAAGTCAGAAAAGGAAGACAGTGGACAAAGACAATGTAATCTAAGAAAAGTAATAAAAGTTAAAAAAAATATATTTTTTCACTAATTAGCTTACGTAATAACTATCATGAATGTTAATAGAACCCTGAACAATGAAACTCAGCGAACAAGCTCAATTGTTAAAACGAAATTTAAAAAATCTGACTGCGTAAAAATGTACTGAAAAGAAAACAAAATCTCATATGAAATCCTATGTCACTTCAGTAATCAGTAATCAGCCGGGACGAATCACTAGTGCAGGAGACATTCAGATGCTATCCAGTGGGATTGTAGTCAAACACTGGTTTTTAATATGTCAAAGGTCATAAAGTAACCATTATTGAGCAGTATCCAATATATACAATACATCCTATATAAGTCCCCTGCCGAACCTCCCTCATATTAATGCCTCATACTTATCAAGCGGGTTGGCATCCATAGTTTTTTATTATTTTCAGTTGTTACTCGTTTATGGAAGATGCTGCTGCCCATCTCCCGTTTCATATTCCCTTAGTCGCCTCTAAAGAAACCCTCGAAACGATATAAGCAGTATGCTTCTTCTCAAATCTGATAGGGTTACGAAACAGAAAATATCCATCGTGTTGCTTTAGTAGGTCTTGTTTACTTCATATTACATCCCGGAAATATTTATTAATTTCTTAAAAAGGTTTCCCCAATTTTTTTTTCGTTCGACGTAGACTGAACGACCAAGACCATTCATTAGAATTAAATTAAACATTTCTATGGTAACGGCGGGAAATGGAGTTTTACTCACGTTTTATGAAATTTAATGTAAACGTTTTAAACCGTGGCGTTCACGAAATTGAATAAAATTTATAATATTACAAACTAACTTGCAATAACCGGCCAAGTTTGCAAAGAAGGTTCAGAATAAGTACTATAGGCAATTGGTGAAGAAAAATTAACGAAAAAAATCTCATTTTGTACTTTTTATCTTTTAAATTCATAATGCGTGATAATTCATTATTTTAACTGATTTTACTGCGCACGCAAACATTAGTAAGGGTCGATAGGTAAGCAAAAACGTTGCTGTCTATAAATCACATTCAATTTAGGATAATTTCAGATAAAAGAAGAAGCCATATTTATTCGTATTTTCAAAAACTATTTTAATTATATAATTAAATGTAAAATTATATATTTGTACTTAATTTTAAAATTTAGCTATTGTTTGAAAAATAACTCTAAATATTACTTAAAAAATAACTAGTTGGCCGGGTAGGCACTATTCTATCCTTTCTGGTTGGTTACGAGATTGCTTTCATTTTCACACACACGTTTTTCTATAGACTTATAATTTAACGTAATACGTATAGCGAAGTCCTCTTTATGACTGATAGAACCACCACAATCATTATGACAATATACTTAAATTAAAAAACATAACCCTTCTTTTTTGATCTTCCGTAAGCGAATAAAAAGTTGCCTATATGATGTACGCCATCATTTACTGCCTACACAAATTTCATGGAAATCCCCGTCCAGTTGCTTTTGCGTGAATCGTGAACAAATAATTTTTCTACAGATTTTTTTATTACTTTTTATTATATGTATAGATTTCTAACTAGATTTTAGGACGCCTTTTCTGTACCTAGGTACCACCCTCTTTTGAATTTCTGTAGGAAAGTAGTAACGCTTGAACCGGTATAAAGGGTATAGAGAACTAGTGTAATTGCAGGCTTTGACTCATTCCATGTTAGTCCTCAGGGATGACAATGCAACTGAAGTCCTTTTTGTATTAAATTGATTGAAAGTGTCCATGGACTGAAGTAGACACTTACCATCAGGTGGACTGTTCGTTTTTCACTTTATTTTTCTAAAAATTAAATAGAAATAAACATAATCACAACTTGAAATTTACAAAGTAGCTCAGAGATTAAGCTCTCGCTTCAAAATTTACAGTACGTGAGAAACTAGGGTTCGATCCCACCGGCACCAATGAAATTGTTAATTGCAATTTTAAGTGCTAATTTATTATGTGCTCGGCGGTGAAGGAAAACTTCGCGAGGAAACCTGTATGTTTGAGAAATAAGAATAGGCAGCGCGGCGGACATTTCCTTGTCACGTCTGCGCAATGATAGGATGCCAGTGCCCAGAATTGGGACGTATTACGTTACTTTTTACAGCTGCAGCAAGAATATTTTGATTAGACTAGAGAAAGACGACGTTCGCATAATATTGTATGCGATTATATTATTATGGTATAATACCAGTGCGAAAAAGCAACATGTTGATAGGTTTCATATAATTTTTTTTATAGGATAGGATGACAAACGTGCACATAGTCCACCTGATGGTAAGTGGCTGCTGTGGCCCATAGACATCTACATTTATCCTCGATTACGAATCAAAATGCAGATGCGTTTTCATCCATGAGGACTTAGATGAAATGTCTCATTTCCAGTAAAAAGTGTCTCCGGTTCTCTACACTCACCATACGAAACACAGCAGCATTAAGCTACTAATTGACGCTGGTATTCTGTGAGAGCGTAGGACCACGCTCGAGCCGACACATTTGTGCTACAACTATACGTACTAATATAACTGCAGCATGGCTCTACCACGTAAAAATATATGGTGAGTTTCACGTGAATAGCTCCATGGAGCAGTGGCTTAGGAAAGAGTTGCAGCGTTAAGGACAGTGGTTTCGAATCCCGCATGGAACAAGTATTTGTATGGCCTAAAAAAACTTTTTTCGTATTTGGATATTTATCCTTGTCAATTTTATGTAAATAAACTGCCACTGAGAAAATCCTAGTGTGGAGGTAACATTTAAAAAAATCCATCTTAGTCCTTAGTTGCGAAAACACATCTGCATTTTGTTTCTTAATTTACTATAGATGTATGTGTAAGGCTACAGCATCCACTTAGCAACGGGTATAATAAAAATAATTTTACTTACCAAGAGATGCTTTTCATATTCCTCTTCAATGTCACTGCCATTATAAAACCTATGTTCTGCGGTAGTATTTGGAAAGTAGAACCCTCGTCGACAAACACAGCGATAAGATCCCCGACGAAATCCCAGACCAGGCACAGGGATGCACTGGGAAATCATTAGATTTAAGAAAGAAATTCGTTAAGAAACAAGTCTCGCAGGGAATTCTCGTAATTGACTACTTTGTCAGAGCTAAAGTAGCGCTTTTAGTTCACATTTAAGGAAAATACATTTGAACTGTATTTTATATATAAGATATTTTTTATTTCTGTACCAGATTTAGTAAAGTAACTCTAGTAATCACTTACTTACAACTGTATGCCTGTGTCAGAAAGAATTTGATGAGTATTTCTCGGAAGTTATTACGGAAATTTGGCATTACGGCATATTGTAGATATTTAAAAGATCTCATTTTTGATAACAAGGGGGTTAATTTTGGGCGAGTGAAAAAGAAATTTGAAAACGTCTACATCATCGAGAGACATACCGAGAACGGTGCTGGCCTTATAATTCAGCAACCGATATAATGGAATTTTCAATAACACTAGTCACACACCCCAGCTTTTTTCTGGATAGGATCTACTCATGTGGCGTTATTTAGTCTTGAGATACTTAATCGAGGACCATTTGTTTTATCAGTTTTTTTTTTCATTTTACCTAAAAAGGGTTTTTGAGCAAAATACATCCCATTTGGCATTGCTCTCTACCTGTTCGTAAAATTTTCATCACAATTGATATAGTATATATTTCATTACAACCGTCATTGCAAATAGTTCCGACAAATGTCTACCCGAGCCGAAGCGCAGCCGAAGTTGAGGGTTGACAGTCGGAACAAGTTGCAATGACGGTTCCGCACGTGTACTGAACAACTATTTTTAATACAGTTGCGAAAAAATGAAGCAATTTAATAAAATAATAAAAACACAATAAACTCAACTAACTTGGGTATTCATTTATATCCACGTTGTTCCTTATTTACAGCTAGCTTTTTATCATCGAAAACCTCGACCATAACTTAGAAGGTTTTAATATTGCTGAGAGTTCGGAAAAGTATGCTAACATAACATTTTCTGAAAAACTATTTGCTTTTTTCCATTCTCTAGATATGTAGCGACTTTTTGACTTCTCCGGTAAAATGATCTCCGAAGCATTTTGTGCAATTATTCCGAGTTCCGGTGGTGTTAATCCAAATAAAATATCGTTGAAATTACTCATTTTGTGCAACAAACAACTAAACTGGCAAAGAACATTTTTGGAAAATGGCGCCAACCTTAAAACGTAGACTAGGTTTTTCTGTCTATGCCGTAAAACGTAGACAGAAAAACCTATAGACTAATGATCGGCGTGGCCTCGAGTGAGAAAGGACGATAACGAATTTTTAGGTTATACAATAACCTTTTTGACTTTTAAACCCATTTAGATAAAAAATTTAATTGTTCTAAGAACTGAACTGAACAAGATTCACCAATGTTAAGCTCACAAAACACTTTTTTTTCTCACTTAAACCAACTTGTAAACTCCTTAGATCGCTACGAACTATCAAAGTTGTTTAGCAAAGTGTAGTTTGCTAAACAAAAAAACCGGCACGGAGGAAGGGACAAACAAACACACCACTCTGTCTCATTTCTATGCAAGACGTATGCATAAATCTATCTTTTTCGTGTGCGAATGCGAAAGAAGGCGTCAATTTGTCTATAGGTTTATCTGTCTACGTTTTTATTAGACATTATTTTGACAGTTGTGAAAGAGAACGCACGAGTTCAGAAAAGGTAAAGAAAAAGCTCAAGTATGTAATAGCCCACATCCCAAACGCTATACGTCCCTGCAATACGCCACTTTTTTAGTAACTGTATTAAAAAAGCCATTCCGTAAACTAGTTCTGACAGACAGGCAGAAAGACAGACAAAATTTTAAATATTGCTATTCATGTCTCAAAACCATGAAATTAACCGATGGAAGCAAATCCGCTCATCGTCCAAATCCAGTTAAGCAGGCTTTGCTCTTTACCAAACAAGGTTTCAGCCTATGTATGTCCCACTTCTAGGAACCGGCCTCCTGTTATTTCTTAGAGAGTTTTAGTACAAGAAATTCTCTACCGCCCTGCCCTAATGCATGTAGGTCGACTTTACATGTAATCTAATTTTTTTTAAATTTTTCAGGCATTGAGGTTTTCTCACGATGTTTTCTTTCACCGCCAAGCACATGGTAAATTTAAAATTGTAAGTAACAATTTCATTGGTGGCGGCGGGGATTGAATCCAGATTGATCGCGTCCTGTGAAATATACAACGAACACTTAACCCCTAAGCTACCACGACTTCACTAAAAATATGTACAATATTTAATACGACCACTAATTTCCTTAAAGGAACTTTATCATAGTCTCTCTCTTAAGTAAATAAAGACCGAGCTTGGTAACATCTGTTTCTGGGCCGTTCATTTTTCCCCCAAGTCCCTAAAGCTTAAGCCGATTTTAGTTACGGAGCAAAGAAATACGACTCCTTGTTATTTGATTGACATAAAACCTTAGTGACCGTAGCTGAAATTATATTTTATATAAAATCCAATGTAGCTTTCATTTCCTAATTACTGTTACGTTTAATTTAAAAAAGCTGAATATAGAATTTAATAACAAATGCAATTTTTGTAAAGCGTAGAGAATAATTAAATTTTGTAAGGTGTTTTTTTTATTTAAAAATATTATAGCATTAGTCGGCGTCGTCTGGAGCCAAAATAAGTACCTCTTTTAACAATGAGATCCATTATATCATTTTAAGAACTAAGAACACAATTCCATGGCCTGCAGTAGCGACGGTACCAGAAGAAATGCGTCACTTTCAACCGATTTCCAAAAGGAGAAAGTTCTAACTAAAGACATATATTTTTAATACAAGCATGACTAGAGTTTTTTGTTTTTGTTGCTCATTACCGAAAATCAGCGTTAGGTGTCGCCACAACCTATGCTAAGAGATTAGTATATTGTTGTACGTCAATTTGTCTATGCCAAAATAAAGTGTTTCTTTGACGGATGGACCGTTTTTTTATTAAAAAGACTGTTGCTTTCTACCTATGTTCCCACTTATGACCTATGTTCACCACTGAACTTGTACGACTGTAATGATGATGAAGAAGTAAATAGGGATACCGATAGGTGGTGGTAAAGCCACCACGTACACGCTTGACGTAAAAACCCCAAATAATTAAGTGATATTTTACCTCTGTGGTTTTTTTCTTACACTTGTCTGTTCCAGCAAAGATGTTCAGCTGCGTTGATCCGGCTTTCAATGGACACTGGTCTATATCGACGCGGCGTAGATCAATGTCGATGCCGCTTGTGCCTCTAAAATAAAAAATAAATGAATATATAACATACATAAACATAAATACTCAAGTCTGTCACCCAGAGGGGTAGGCAAAGACTACAGACTACCATTTGCCACGATCCTGACACATCTCTCTCACCTGCTCTACATCCATATACCTACACATACATATTCGTCGTTCTAGGGTACTCTTAAACTTTCACCTAGGACGTCCCTTTCTGACTTTGCCGTTCACTTCTGAAACATAAAGAATCATGTCCAATCTAGACCTGAAATTTTTAACGCGTCTTGTGATGTAAAATATCTTATAAAATTGCCTTCATTTTCCTTATGTCGCATAATTGAAATTTCCAATAAAGCCAGGAACAAAAGTAATATCACTATGTTTATCATTCTCAATAGACTTTTGGGAGGCTGAACACGTTTTAAAATGGCTTAAAAGCCCAGAAGCCATGCCAAAATATATTAAAAAAAAACGTGTTTTACACATTTCATTTTACAGACACTGAAAATCTTATTGATTCGTCATGTGGTTTACGAATGTTCAAAATAATAAATTGTTTTTTGTTACTTATCTTATGATTTTATGATTAGATATGATTTTTTGTGGTCTTATACTATGGTGTGGTGAGTTATTTTTCTTTCCACACCATATACCATAGTGTACAGTTGAGAGGTTATAACCTAAAAACTTATTTACTTTACAGCATTTTTCCCTGGCCTCTAAATGAAAAGATGATACGTTATTACGTTATTATAAACAATAATTGATTTTATGCAACAGTAGCTGTAGGTAGACGCGACCTGTAAAATGAATCAAGTGACAGGTCAATCAATGTATGGAAAGTGGGCATGCTTCTTTGCTTTGTCACTCTCTCGTCATTCATTCTTTCTACATGACCAATATTCCTTTCTTAATCCTGGAACAACATTATCTTGCAAACTACGCTTTTATCTTATCACACAATTTCTCACCATGTCTCTTAGAGCCGTAACACACTCCTTAACGGCCGCATATCTATCAAGTTTATTCTACTCTCGTCTGTCGTACTATCACACTCAACTTTCACTACCGTACGTCAAAGTATGGACTAAGACACCATTGTAAATTGCCATACGTACCTTTTTTGATACACTTTGACTTTCCGCAATAGAAAGTAAGTGTAAATATAAACCTAGATTAAAAATTTAATGTCTATATTTAACTGCTGGGGAAAGGCCTCATCTTGATAAAGAGGGTTCTAAAACTATTACCCCACCGCCCTGATTTATTGTATTTTTATTGCAGTGATAATCTTGATGAGATGATCCACGGAAGTGGATCCTGTGACCCTACCTACCTTGATCGAATGATATCCAAATCACTCAATCAATAATAAAAAAGCAGGCGAGTTACCACCCATGAGGACTAAGATTAAATGTCTCCCTACCAGAAGAAAGGACCTCCGGTTCTCTACACTCTCCATACGAAACATAGCACCATTAATCTGCTGTTTCACGGAGGTTTTCTGTGAGAGTGTGGTCCTACTTCGGTTGACCATTCGTTTTGAAAAAGCCATAATATAACTGCACCATGACTCTACCAACTAAACAGTACGTTGACACAAATAACAGGTCCTGTAAATATGTTAGACTTGTGGGTTTTCTCAAGATGTTTTCTTTATAAAAAAACGATTGGTGCTGGCGAGGATCGAACCCAGGTTTGTCGCATTTACAGCGAGCGCTTATTCCCAGAGCTACAATTGTTACCAACCCTCCTCCGAAGAGTGTCTTTGGAAAATAACGTCCTTATGAGGCAATCTACAGGGGAGGCCTGTTTTTAGCTGTGGGATCTTAATAAGAGATATTGAATGAATTACAGCAAAAATATAATATACTGCAGTACTAACTATACGAGTTAGGTTAGATTGACGAGTGTGGGGCACAAATTTGAGCTTTGCGTTAATAGAAATTCTAAGGAAAACAATGAAATCTTTAAAGTCTTAACTCCTGTCCAGATTAAAATATTTCATAAATTATAGTAGATGCATATAAGTAAATTTTTACATTTGGCTTTATTGTAATTGAATGTTTAAATAGTAGAACACAGGCCAACGGCCGATCGAAGGGGAGTAGCTATAGCGTTTTTTCCCGAAACCGAACTGTCTTTCATTTTTTGGGGGAAATCTGTGCACACAAAAGCAAACGTCTATCGCTACCAAAGTCATACATAACAATTAAAATAATAAACTAATAATTTCACATAGGCATATACATAATAACAGTATCGCTCGTGACCTCAGATACAGACATGAGTCGCTCGACCGATCTGCATACTCGTATTATATGTGGGTGAACGATCTGTATTGCTAAACAAATCTGAAACAAGACGACGGCTATTATTGTAATATTTATGAGTATGAAAAGAATTAAATTGCAATAATGTGATTAAAAATTACTTATACATGAAAAGTGATGCCACGTTTTTGTAAATTTGATGTGGTAGATCTCCTTTTACAGCAAAAAAACTGAACAATTAAGCATTTTTGTAGGGCATGGATTCAGTTGCGCAACTAGATTTAGTCTACTTAAGCAATCTGGCTACAAATAGTTTTATAGTATGCACGCGTATACTTGTACTTTGACCGAGGGGAACGCCGGCGTAAGGCTACTCTCTTTCGGTCCGCTGGTGCCCCGTGTCGCTCTATGGCTAAATATAATAACGTAATAGGTACTAATTTTGATTAAATATTATAAACTTTTCTATTATTTAACAATTACAGCTTGAGTTTAAACATTTATTAAGTTTTAACCTCAAGTACACAAATTATACTATGGCACAATTATTCCCTACAAGGTAAGGTAAGTCGTTAACATAAGTCAGGAAATGGAATGAACCTAGGATTGAGCACTGAAAACGCTTATTCATACGATCAACCCAGTAATACTTTTACAAATAAATAAGTTATTTCAAGCTTCGTTACTAAAATACGAAATAATAAATCGCTGTAACGTTTTTCAAAAGCCTAAAAAATATCTTAAGAACAATCCAAAGCATCCCGTACAATTTCCGTGAATGTATCAGAAATACGTTAATAACTTCGCTCGTAAAACAAAATTGATTTCAACGAAGCAATTTAATAACATTTAAAAACGTTAACATAATATTATTATCTGAAACACTTACTTGAATTTGACAACGTTTAGAATTAAAGAAGCCATAACAAATTAATATAAGTACCACGTCTTGTCATATTTTTAAAATTTCATCTCTTTAGCTCATCGCTAAGTTGGTTTAAATCAATTACTAAATTTGACCCGAACAGACCTACATGAAATCGAGTAAAAAAATTGGTAACAATAGGTCTAAAAGAAACGGGATGCATTGATTTTAGACCAACTAGATTCCAACCAGATTCGAATATTCGACCACACGATTCTTAATGGCGCTGTTATAATATCTGTAAATATATGATTCACTAAAATATTTCTAAATAAATTATTTCCAGTTCAAAAATATATTTATATAAATCTTACTTAATCTAGTTATTTCAAGTTTCAAAAATAATGTCTAGTCAGTCATTTTTTATGAGCACAAACTTATAAAACTTACTGTCTACTGATCTGTAGGATTTTGAATTATTTATATAATAGTAACTTCAAGAAAAGGAAATTATTTTGGGTCCAAATCTATACTAATATAATAAAGCAGAAAAGTTTTCTTTTGCTTTTTTTTGTTTGTTTAAACACGCTAATATCTGGAAACACCAGTCCCATTTGAAAAATTCTTTTTGTATATAATAGCCAAATTCATGAGGACTGGTATAATCTAATAGGTCCTTACATATGAAATTGGTGTTTTGTACGAGAGGAATATAAAGTCAATTTTTTTTTGTAAAATATATTCAATTAATCAAAGTATGCACTTTTACCATCTCGTAGGTAGTTCATTGATCCCTTTACTAAAAAAACCATAGGGGCGAGAATCAATAAACTCTTTGAAGGCGGTTTGGACTGCCGTATCGGAGTTGAATTTTTTTCTTGTAAGTAGTTGTGAAAGAGCCGTGGTAGCTCAGATGGTTAGTGCGCGTTGTAAATTTTACAGCACGCGAGCAAACCGGGTTTGATCCCCGCCGGCACCAATGAAATTGTTAATTGCAATTTTAAGTGCTGATTTACCACATGCTCAGCGGTGAAGGAATACATCGTGAGGAAACCTGCATGTCTGAGGAATAAGAAAAAAATTCGAAGACATGTGAAGTTTGCCAACACGCATTGGGGCAGCGCGACGGACACTTCCTTGCCCTAAAACCCTCTCAGAAATGAGGGGAGGCTTGTGCCCAGCAGTTGGAGGTATATAGGTTGTAACTTTACTTTTATGAAGTTGTCCAAATTCCGGAAAATATGGTGATCTGTTGGAGCAAGATCCAGGGAATACGGTGGATGTCGCAGACATTCCATTTGTAGCTCATCTAACTTAGTGGTTGTTTGTTGTGCAGTGTGTGGTCTGGCGTTGTCGTGAAGCAGAAGTGACCTTGAGCGATTGACCAATCTCGGTTGTTTAGCAGCTAGTTTTCCTTCTTAATTTGCAGTTGCTGACAATAGATATCTGCCGTAATCGTTTGGTCTGATTTTAAAAAGCTGTAATGAACGACACCGGTGCTAGTCCACCAAACACTCACAAGTAACTTTTTCTGAGTCAATTTTCGTTTAGGGTAAGATTTGGCTGGGTCTCCAGGGTTCAACCATTGCGACGAGCGCTTTTGATTATCATACAGTATCCACTTTTCATCACAAGTAATGATTTAATTTAAAATCCCTTCATTTTTGTGTCGGTTATTGACAAATTAACACAGCAGTCGACGCGTGTTTGCAAGTTCGATTCACTCAATTCATGAGGTACCCATCGTTCAAGTTTTTTTTACTTTCCCGATTTGCTTCAAGTGGATTAATACAGTTTTATCACTTACCCCAAAGCCTGCAGCTATCTCTGAAGTGCTTTGTTATGGATCCGCTTCCACAATAGCCGTTAATTCTT